TGCTAAAATGTATTTGAACTCTATTAGTAGACACACGCACACAAAGTGTTCAAAGTTTACGCCTACAATCAATTAAAAATACTTATTTATAAATATTTATGAATAATTTTTAAAAATTTTAAATTAGTGATATACTACACTTAATCAATTTATTTTGTAATAATTTAATTTTAGCATAGTGAAATTTGGTTTATCACTCTGTATATTTAGTAAATGATAAAATTGCCACATGTGTTGCACATGAATACAAACAAACATCAGTAAAACACACATCACAGTAAAATCGGGTAGCTAGAGATACAATTCCTAATTCGATGAATCGTCTCCGCAAACGACGATCAAAGACGTCCACGTCTGAAATGACTTGAACGACTCATTACTACGACATTGCAACAAGATCATCAACTTGAAACGCAGTAAGTAAACTGCAAAGTAAGCTTTGCAACATGCAGCAACACGACTGCAAACGAACATAAATATAAACTTCACCTGTGCCTAAAATACAGTTTGTTTATTGTTTTATGTTTTTTCTACGTATATAACACAGCGGTATGTCAAGTTCAAAGAATTTAAATCGTGTAAATATTGCTAATACAATAAAATGACGTTTGGATATTGTATAGTTTCGGTTAGTTTAGGTGTTAATCAAGATACACTTCTCCATTAAAATACGACAATTTTGAGTTGCTGTACAAATATCGAGCACAATATCAGATTTTGATTAGTAAATTGCTCAAATTGTCAACATTTTCTAGCGACGACAATATTTGATTCAAAACATATGAAAGTATGTGTTCCATATCATGAAAAGCATAATTATTCTAATATTATAAAGTTAAATGCAAATTTATATGTTTGTAACGCTTTCACGCAAAAACCAGTCAATCAATTTTGATAAAATTAGGTATCGAGATATTTTGGCCCTTGGACAAGCAAATAGGCTGCTGTATATAGCAAAATTATAACTGCCAGGATGTAAAATAAGAGATGAAAGTTTATTTTGTAATTCACTCATCATTATACTCATATAATTCGAATAAACAATGGCGTTGTTCATTATTTGTATTATGTTTGTGTTAAAAATAAAATAAAGTGATTATGTGGCATTTTATTAAAATCTACGCGAATGATGATGATGAAGTTATGCGCAAATGTTTGTAATATAATAAATCAAACTTTGATATGTTATTACCTTTAAAACATAAACATTACTGTTACTACTGTTTCTAAAATACTTGCATCGTCATACGACAAGGTCATGTTTAATATGGTTGTGCCTCAGTGCTTTGTGATTGTTCACAAATCGCACTGATGAGATTTGATATTATGTCACGCGTCCTTTTTTGCTTTATTCCTCAAAACAAAAGGAAGTAACGCGATTCGTCCAGCTCGACATTTTTTCTAATTCTAGACTCAACAATGTCAGCAATAACAATACAATTATTATAACAATAAAAATTACTCGAGCAAAATTAACATGACAAAGAAAAGAAAAGAGGAAGCAACAAATAAAAATAAAAGTATCACATTCGCTAATTTTGCGTCTATTCGCTTGAGCTCGCAATTTAATTTGCGTTCACCATCGCATTCTTGCAAATAATCCGAAGATATGTCTAGAAATTCGAAACTTTGAAATTCTAGATTATATTTTATTACGACTTTAAATTGTTGATATATGTATATAAATATAGCCAAAATTAACGTTTGTCTTTATGTATAAAACAAAGTGTTAGTTACAACATTTATAACTCAAGAACCGCTGAACAAATTTTAATGATCTATGATTTGTTAGATTTGTCTAGGCTCGGAATAGCAGAAAAATATTAAAATATTGAAAATTTTTACTTAGAAGGTGTAAAATAAAGGATGAAAGTTAGTAATATATAAAGATTCAATCATAATTGTAGTTAAATAATTGAATCACATATGGCGCTAAAGTCCATTATTATTTATTTTAAACAAAATAAAGAATGTGATTTGCGAAGTCAGAAAATAATTTAATTTTTAAAAAATGAAGAAAGTAATTAGTCAGATTACTTTTTATTAAATTTAACGCGGATTAAGCTATTATTATTCGGGCTTATTAATAAAAAAGAAAAGTTAATATTGAGTGATTACCTAAATAATACAAATAAAACTAATAGAATGCATATTAAGAATTAAGGCCACTTTCTTATTTGTAATCTGCGTGCAACTCAACTAATTACTTCGATTTTCGCCAACATGATTTTAGCGTCTATTCAATTCAACTTTGGATAGTAGAGTAGAGTAAATTACAAATTCTACATTTGAAATTAGATTTAGTTAATGTTAATTACGCGTTGCGCGATTCCGCCTCGGATTTCGTTTCGAGTGCGACGACTTGTAACATCCGCAATTCCGCACCGCCTCACAAATAGATTTGCATTTTTAAGATGTATACAAGTTCAAGTTCAAAGAACTCTTCTATTCTATTCATAATTTAATACGAACAGTACTCCGAAGAGTACTGGAAATAATCTCATTGATTTTATGTCTTGTTGGTTGCCTAAAAATAAATTTAGCACAATATAAAAAGTTTTGATATTTAGGTATTTTAAGAAAGTTGACTTTTGAAATTTCGCCTTTTTGTGTTCCTAGTTTGCGCGAAGCAAAAGGCGTAAATTTATAGCTCGTTAGTGGCCACGCTCGGACGACCACGCGATCAACATATCATTAGTGATTAGAGTTAGACTTGCTAGACATTACTGCAACTTACCAGAAACGTTATCATTAGTTAAACTTTAATTTATAACTTATATTTAGATTTACACGTTTCGCAACAATTTGCGACAACAAACGAAAGCAACATTATAATAATATAGTCGCAACACAATAAATTAGTAGGTGTGCTGATGAGACCTCTAATGGTCGAAATAGCTATCCACATCAGGCTTGACAAATACTTGCATTGACTTGCAATGGTTTAGTAAAAATATCGTTTTGGCGATATTGTGAGGGTATAGCGTACAGTAAGTGTTTACTTAACTTTACTCAACAATAAATTTGGTAATAGATATTACTAAAATACTTGATAAATTAAGTAATTCATGGTCAAAAGTGCAACAACTAAAACCGACTTTTCATACGGTTTGGTACTGCACCGTAGGCAAATGCGCAAATGCAAGCTCCGCCCCGTAGATAATGCCCGTAGGTAAAGTACTTCACTCACGGTTTAGCCGTCCGTATATAAAGTACCAATTTTTGTGTCTCAAAACCGTGGAAAAACTAGGACTTTAAAGGTGAAAGTACAAAAAATAATAATAAAAAATATAATACATACCTACATACACCAACCTTAATAATTAATCTAAATTTAAAATTAACATCTTTTAATACTAATAAAATAATCTTCTGACATCAATTACGAATCCCGCGCCGCGACTATATAATTTAATAAAATAAATTCAACCGAAACATAACAATCTAAACGACTGACACATATTAATTATAACAAACTAGATAAATCACAACTGATCGTTGAATTCTTAGCAAGTATGCAAAGTATATTATATAATGTATATTATTATTTGTTTTAACCAAATTGGATTATACAATATTTTCAGTTATTATAAAATCAAATTTAAATATAAATTAATTTTTATGCTAATTTTAAAAGTATCTAGAAGATGAATATCAAAAGAAAATAACAACTTTTTTATTTAATCGGAAAAGACTTTTCTCATCACAAAAACGTTAGGAGACAACGGATTACAAATTATGCATGCTTAACCAATGCCAGCTTCGTAATATCTGGACAAGATAACAAAGGATCAAAGCGGTGTCTCTGCAAAAGCAACCGTTAAAATAAAAGCTGGATATTTGCATTCCATCTGTATTTATTTATATGTAAATCGCATTAGCGGCCAAAATGTTAGCCACGGCTACTTTAGCGGCTGCTTAAAAGGTGATAAAGCGATAAAAACGCAGTTAGAATTAATTGCCTATGCAAGTATTAAGTGTTAAACTAAGAGTATGCGACTTAAGTAACAGAAAAGTACAGTTGGACTTGAGTAATCCAAACCAAAATTAACCAAATTATACAATTAAACAAATAAAAATGTCAATATGTACTGATTTTATTCATTTATTCATCAAATTTCAACTGTTTAAATTATTATTTGGGCGTTTGAAGTTTATTAGGGTATAGAAAAATCAATAGAAAACTATTTTTAGGAAAGAAAAAAAGAAAAAAGAAAAAATTTGAAAGAAAAAACATTAAAAATCATTGAAAAAGTGTTGAAAATGTTTGTATTTATTTAATTACTGAAAAAAACTAACACAAATATTATATCAATTAAACTAGGAAATAGTTTTGTTGTTTACATAATTATATAAAAAGTTTTAAACAATTAAACTTCAATTTTACCAAAATCTTGACGGAAATTTTAAAAAGTCAAAAATCTTGATCAAAAAAATTATTATCAATAAAATATTTGCATATTATCATGCAGAATTTATTACTTCACAAATTCCTAAAGAAATCATGAAGATACGTTGAATGGTTCGCATGTAATTAATAAATTTAACTCTATATTATAATAATATGCGCTTTCTACGACACAACAGTAGGTGTAAGTACTTTCTTACTGTACTTTATGATTCCTTGTGCCTTCTCCTGCATACCGTTCGTTTGTTATTTTTTATCATCCTCAATTGCAACTTACATAACACATGTCACCGCCTATGCTGGCGATTCAGCAATCGCCGCAACCCAAACTTCACTTTTATTCCATTGCGCATGCATTTCGGTTGTGATCGTCTTTAGTTTAAGAGCACTAAAGTCACAACGCGCACCATAAGCAGCCGCGCACTTGGTTTACCAAACAAGAGATATTTCAATTGCAGGTCCACAACATTGAACTTATGTTGCGTCGAGTTTACTTGCAGCTCCATAAACGTAAACTTGCACTCGATTGTACTCGTTCACTTTTTGTTCACTCGCTACTCGTCGCGTATTACCGTACGAGTATTACGAAACGATGCACGCAAAAGGCAGTGGACACTATGTGGCCAACCAGGAGGTACCGTAAGAAACAAATCTATAAATTAATTTTATACAATTCGCGCGGATAATAATGCCAAGTTGAGTAACATGAAGTCATATTAAGAAGATAATACTATGGTCCAAAGAAAACCGATGGAAATCTTCACGAAATACTCGTACAACAATGATGTAGTTATGGCTACCATATTGAAAGAAAAAAAAGCCGCCAAATTTGGCACATATATTAATCTTTATTATGTCTCGTACAGAAACTTTATTTAATCGATTTTTTGGGTTGTTCATGCGCATGTTGTTGAATGCTGCGCCCGTAAAAGTTACTTAATTCTTTTTTAAAGGAATGCAATGAAGTAAGTGCACTTTATTAACGTGCGTTTAAAGGGTACACGCAAATTGCATTCTTAAATATTTTAAAATTGCATCTCGGTTGCAACGGTTGCCGTTTCACAGTCTCCGTTAATGCAAGTTGTAAAAAGAGGAATTTCGGTCAATAGGCACATTATAATATTATTTTACTTGTAAAAATTGTTGTTTTTTGTTGATTTTAAAGATATTTTCAAAGTATAGAGAAATAAAATTAAATTTTTGCAAATAAACTCAAAGAAATTTGATGTAATGAAAATAACGTTTAAGATATTTGCTAAAATTAGCAAATATAGGCAAAATTTCTTTTTATAAAATTTATGTACTCTAAAAATACCTTATAAATCAACAATTATTGCAAAATAATAAAGAAGTGTTACATTTTTTTTCTTTAAATGAAACTTTTGCAATATTATATTAAACAAACACATTCACCATTGTTTTACTGATAACAATCAAAACAATTCAAAATATAAATGTATTTATAAACCGGTCTCTCCTCATATCTTAACACTGACTGTAACAGTAAAAGAGTTAACTAATATGCGAATAAAATATAAACTTTTATCTTTAATTCTTAATTTACTAAGAATAACATTTATAAAATGTGATGCAAATGGTGATAGTAGTGAGAGTAGTTCAAGTGAATCAAGGCCAAATGATTGGTACCACCTCTTCAAAGATTCGCCATGTTTCCAAAAACTGCATAACCAATTTGACTTTATTATAATTGGTGCAGGAACCGCAGGTTGTACTCTTGCAAATCGTTTAAGCGAAGAAAACTGGAATGTTTTACTTATTGAATCAGGAGGTGATTCAACTAATATATCAATGGTAAAATGACAAAAATAACATTTTGTATCTATAATATAAAAATTAATAGCAAAATCTGTTGGTAAGCGCATAACTCAACAACGCCTAGTCCAATTTGGCCAATTCTCTTTTTAAATGTTCGTTAAAATTCAAGGATGGTTTTTATGGCGAGAAAAATTCGAATAATTGCCGGGAAAACCCTACAGCCCTTTTCTATAGGATAAATGTTGGCATTGAGATTCAATCATAGTTATAGTTAAGTAGTTGAATCCGAGATGGCGCGCAGAAAATAAAATTGCAAATCTTGTTGATAGAATTGCATTTTTATTAAACACTACTGGGACGAAGTCGCTAGTACAAATATATATAAAAAAAACATTCATTTTTTTAGATTCCTGCATTATTTATGACAGTTCGTGAATCCCCCCTTGATTGGAACTTCAAAACCCTCCCAGCTGAACATTTCAAAGGTTACCATGATTCCCAATGCACTTGGCCACAAGGTCACCTCCTAGGTGGAAGCTCCGGTATCAACGCAATGCTCTACACTGAAGGTGTCCCCAAAGATTACGACAACTGGTCATTAAAACACCAACTAAAAAACTGGGACTACTCTTCAGTAGAACCCTACTTTAGAAAATTAAACGCTGAAGAATGTAAAGAAGGTTTTGTTTACTCCACCAGATACGAGTCAAAATCACCATCAAGACTTTTACTCTTTCAAGCAGCAATCGAAAGTGGAATACACGTTAACGACAACCAACACATTTTTGGTTATAGAGATGTACCAGTTAGTGTTTACAAAAAAGAAAGATTCTGCATGTCAAAAGCGTATTTAAGACCAGCCATAGGCAGACCTAATCTATGCGTATTAAAACACACCTTAGTAGGAAAGATAATAATCAGAAATGATGCAGCTATAGGTGTTGAAATTAATATACCAGGAGGAAAAGATGGAACCATGAATATCTACACAAGGAAAGAAGTCATTCTATCAGCAGGAGCTGTAAATTCACCTAAATTGCTAATGTTGAGTGGAATAGGACCAAAAAATGAGTTAGAAAAACATGGAATACCTTCAATAAAAGACTCACCAGCAGTTGGTACTAATCTTCAGGATCATATCATAGTGCCGATTGTAGTGGAACTTACAGATCTCCCATTGATGATAGATTATTCAACAATGTTGTATAATTATGCAAAAAATCAGGATTCTTTGGATAAAGTAGACATTGCAAATTTCCAAGGATACTTCAACACGGAAAACGCGAAATCTGACCAACCTAATATTGAATTTATCCATTTTACATTCTACAAAAACGATAGACTTGTTTATCCTGCTTTTATTAACCGTGTTGGATTTAATCATTACTATACAAGCAGATTTAATGAGATGAATAGACGTACCGCGGGATTAGTAGTACTCCCAACACTTCTACATCCGTTATCTAGAGGTTCTATACGTTTGGAATCATGTGACACTCACGATCCACCAATTATTGACACAAACTATCTCTCTGAACCCAAAGATTTAGAAGTGTTATTAGATGGAATTGAATTCTTTCAAAAGATAAAAAATGCTCCGGCTTTAAGAAGATACCCATTCACTGATTTGAAATTAAAACATTGTGATAACTATCTGTTTGCTTCTAGGGATTACTGGAGGTGTTATGTGTTGACGTTTGTTACTACAGTGTATCATCCGATTGGTACATGTGCTATGGGAGTTGATCCCAAAACAAGTGTGGTTGATGAAAAGTTAAAAGTTTGGGGTGTGAAGAATTTGAGGGTTATTGACGCGAGTGTTATGCCGGAGACTGTGAGTGGGCATCCCAATATTCCTGTGTGTATGGTTGCGGAAAAAGCAGCTGATATTATTAAGGAGGAACATGGGCACCATGTTGAGAGAATTTGTAAGGAGAAAAATTAAAAACTATGAAAAGTTATGAAAAGTTTATTTGATTTTTATTTATTTGAGTTTGTTCAACCTGAATTGATAAGATTTATTATGGCTGATAAGTTTCAGGTGATAATTCTATGTAAATATGATGTGAGGTAAAGTTTTTAGAAATAAAGTTTACAGGTATATTTTACTATTGAGTAACTGTAATGGGGTCGCGCTGGGTAAAACCGACTGTAAAAGTGATTAAACATTGAATCAACTGATATACCTACTAAATTAGTTTTTTAAAAATTTTATTTTAAAGAGATGATAAATTATATTAATGCACTCTAGCGCCATCCCGAATTCAAATATTTAACTATAACTATGATTGATTCCTTATACCAACTTCCATCCCCTATTTAACACCCTTCCAGAAGGAATCTTTAATATTTTAAAGTCATTCTGCTATTCGGGACGGAGACGAATCCAACAAAACATAGATTATCAAAATCTGTCTAGTTGTTCTTGAGTTATAAGTGTTGTAACTAACACGACTATGTTTTATATAGATAGGTATTAAATCCCTGCTTGACTTGTGGAAAGTAAAAACTCCCGAAGTTCTAAAAATAGCATTGGCGCCTCCATAATCCAAAAACTAAAATAATTTGGAATAATTAATGATATAAACCCGAGCTGACCAGAAAAATTTCCGCTTTCTGCAACAAAAATTTAAAACCGCAAGAATTTTTCACTTTTTTACAAATGCAAAATTGTAAAATTTTTTGTTTGTTACAACATTGACCGCAACCTATCTTCAAACGGTGTATGCCCGTGTCTAAATCGATAATTAATCGTCCTTTCTTGCATTCTAGCGTCGATTTTATAAGCTCGACTTAATTGCACCGTGCACCACGAGCACAAAACGCGGAAACGCGATCGCGCGCGCGCGCGTGTGTGCCAGACGCAAGATAGACCGGCGCATTCGGGTAATGAATGTGTTGCGCGTCGAGCGTCGTGTGTCGGAGCGATTATACAATAACGATAATTAATGAACGGTCATAATTAGCGAACCGAGCGAGTGAATAATAGTACAAGAGGCACCGTGCGCAAGGTTGCAATCGTTTTATCTTCAATGTTACAAGACAAGACACAAACAAATTAAAAGTGACAAAAAACGCGGTAAATTTCACAATTCCCGACAAAAACGTTGATCATAAAATGCAAAACAAAGAAACGTTGCAAAACATTGCAAAAACGCATCTTCCGCTGATTGTTCCAAGAGACACAAACAAACACAGATAAATTATGCATCTCTTTTGTTGCTAAATATACAACCAACGCAAAAATACGCAGAATTTCTTGAAACAATGAGAGCTAATGTTACCAACACTCAAGGACATTTATAAAGCATAAAAAATCGTAATAAACATTCTCTTAAATTCAAATTAATTGATTTTCCACTTGAAAACACATAATAATCGAGTTTAATTTTTATGCTCATATGCACAATGCATAGTTAAACACAATTTAATAGTTACAAATTAAATTGTGTAAACAACAAGCCCATACACGGCAATTGAGTGCATTTCTAGTGTATAATTCATTTACGCTCATTTGTTTAACGATCGCAGCGAAATGTTTCAGGTTTGCTTCAAGTAAAGTGCATGAAGCAATAAAATAAATGAATTTTAGCCTAAAATTGTCTAGGTATAGATATGTACGTATTATTAGTTCTATATGATGGATTAATGTCCGCCTAGTTTGTGCACAGTGACGACAAGTTCATGACCTGTTCATTAACGTAAATAACGAGTGTTTCTGGCTTCGCGCGAGTTGGTATATGGAAGAAATCGTCGAGTACGATTCCTGCGCGTTGTCGTTGCGGCCGTAAATGCATTTTCTATCGTTCTATCGCGCATGTTTGGAAGTAAGCGCATCTGGTCTATTTTTGGACGGCGAGCAGGTCGAGTTAGCAAGACACGACACGGCGACGATCGCATACCAGGAGCGATTATTGCACTTTGCGACAAAAACAAAAAATACATGGAGTGGAGAATACACGTTTTTAGCGGTGGTAATTAATGTTTAAGTTTGCTATAGATGGCGCTTGGATAACAATGCTAACTTAGCAGAATTAGCGAAAAAGTTGCATGGAAAGTGTAAAATTTCGCACGTCTGCAGACTGCAATAAAAATATGCACATGTTGCGGATTATTTGCGACGCAAATATATAGGAATAAGAATAAATTTTACTGATTTTGCTAACCAAACGTTCAAGATGACAACCAAGTAATACCCGGAATGGCCGCCAACGACGAAAACGTGACCGATACAATATAAACATCCAGATTTTAAAGGAAGAATGACACATTCCGTGCTTCAATCAGTCGATAGCCACCCAATCCAACATGTGGAATGTTTCTGTTTGTACAGAAAGTGTTTCTGAAAATAAAATGTTTGAGTTTTGTGCAGTTTTACGATGGGCGGTATCGTTGGTAGTTGGTAATACGACACTATGCATGAGATGACCCTTGCCACAGCCTACAGGCAGGTAAAGTCAAAGTGGTGACCTTTGACTAATATGACTCTGACTGCCAAAACGTTACATGCGCATGCGCATTTTACCTAAATGTTTATAATTTAATTTGGAGATAACTATTTATTGCCTATAGCTGTATCTAGTAGCTAATAGTAGTAGAGAATGATGGAAGAGATAAGATCTGATGGATGTTTACAGGTGTAGTGTTGGTATGCCACGGAAGCGGTCAAAAGTTCGATTTAACTTTTCGGTTGTAATTTATGTGCATTAATCATCTTTCAACACGATTTTTTTTAACATATATGAGTGTGTAATTCTTGTTTTATAAGTTTGTAGTCAAGGGAGATATTTCCTCTCATTGTTTTGTTTTACTACTAAAAATTAACATATTTGTCGGCACGTGCCGAACCAAAATATCCTGCGTAAAATGATAGGGAGAAATCTCTAAAAACAAGTGTTAAATCTCGTTAAAAACAGATTTACGTGTTTTGATGGGGAATTAATTTCTTATTGATACAGTATTATCAATAAGAAATAAGAGATTAGAGATTTCTTCAGACAATAGTCTTAGGAATTTAATCAGAAACTAATGAATCTATATAAAAAACAAAGTTGGGTTAGTTTCAACATTTATAACTCAAGAACCGTTGGGCAGATTTTGATGATCTATAATTTGTTAGATTCGTATTCGCCCCAAATAACAGAATAACAATTAATATAGCAAAAATTGTGACAATAAAGGTGGTTTAATAAGGGATGAAAATTGATATATTTCAATCATAGTTATAACTAAATAATTGACTCCTACAAAGCATAAATAAATGCTAACCGAATCAGTAAATCGGAGTAAGTACCATTTATTAACAACAATTCTCTTAAACAAGGTATTAATTAATCTATACTTGAATTTAAATTATGTAATATAAACAATAAAGATCAAATTAATTTTCTCTGTTAAAATAATTGTACGTACTATTAATTTTATAGCACGATAACATATCCGTCAGTTATCAACAATAATTATATTTCACTCTGCGCATTGACAATAAATAGCTAAATACCAAACAACACTATCTCCCATTCACCGCATTCACATCCATATATTATTTCAATCTGACGGCAGTGAAGCTACAATTACGAAATAAATTGATTATTACACATTCTCATTCAATGGACGCATTTGTCTCAATCCACATCCACTTCATTCATCTCACGCCGGCTATATATTAATAGCTATTATTTAAACAATATCAACTAATTTATTATTTTTATACCAAACTACTTTTTAACCAGCGCTACAGGATACGTGATAGAAAAGAATTTTTAAAAAATGCTGACGTATTATTATGAATTGATGAATTATGCATAAATTCGCAACCATAAATCAATCGTTTAATTATAACGCATGGTTAAATAATAAAACGAATTGGTGTGCGATGTGCTCCGCGGACTAAATTCGTTTCTATCGTGGACTTTGAAACGGTGAAAACATGTTACTCGACTTCAACATTACTTAAGTTGTTAAAGTACGGCACGTATCGATTCATTTTTGCAATAACATCACGAACTTTACTCTAAAAAGAAATAATAATTATAATTATAAGTAATGAGTTTATACTTTAGACCAAATAAGATTTATAATATTCAATTAAAATTCCATTTTAATTTAAAGATCAAAGTTGAAATATTTTTTTAATGTTTTGCGCATGCCCACTGAGCAACAAAATGGAAACATAGCCTAATATAAGATAAATTCTTTGAATTTATCGATATTTTATTATAACCTGGATGAATACAGGATGAATGTGTAATTAAAATTCCTATTTAAGTTGAAGACAAAACTTGAAATGTGTTGCGCATGCGTATATTGAGAACATATCCGAATAAAACACAAATTCTAGGAATTTTATTAGCGTTCCAGTATACCCGGGATGAATACGGGATGAATGCGTGACCTTGAACCAGCCGGGAGGCTACCGCCTGGCAGCCATCCCGTTTCGCAATGCGCCGCGCGTCTCTTTATCGAACCGCACGTCGAAAGCCAAACTCAATGCCAACACTGACCTACAATTGCGAATGTCCTTGCAGTTTGCAATTCGTAACACGCCCTTAACTCAATTTATCTAAACCAATACAAAATATATTTTCAAGAATAGAATATATTACATTTTTGCTTACCGAAAAATGTCTCCCAACTATCCATCTCACCATCCGATTGGGTGCCGCTGTCCCGATTGGTATCCTTGCGAATATCCTTATTGTCAGCGGTATTATCACAATCACTAGCGAGCGCATTCCGCGCGCACTGTTGTTGGTGATCGGCGTGACCACGCTCGCGGTCACGATCGCACATCTTCGCCAGCTGCATTTGCACGGATTGCAGTCTGTGCGCCAGAATAAATTACGCGCTCACTGTTCAACCAATTCAACCACCAGTCCAAACGCCATCTCAGGATGTGTCACATTTGTTTGACTGTCAAACGCGGTAAATCATCAAATCAAAGACTGTGATTGAGACAACTAACGCGATTGTTTGAAACTTTCAAATATACAACGGTCACTATTATGTTTTTATAATATTTCTTACATTATATTCACTAAAATTTAATTTTTTTTGAGTTACTTAGATTATTGATTTAGTTTTTTAGATGCGTAAAATTTGCAAACAATTGAATACAAGACGTGGAGGTGCACATGTGCATGTGCATCGGCGAAAGAGTTTATATACGACACGCTTACGATGAGCGGCGAGTGGCGACTGCGGGAAGCACGCTACGCGCAAGTAACTTGCAGCGCGGCAGTGTTACTCCTCTGCTTGTAACTCGGACTGGTTTCGTGCGTGCTTCCAGTGCGTTCCGCCCGGCATCGGCTGTGTAGAGACATGACAGCGATAGCAGTAGTCGCAGATGAGTTGAATAGAGTGAATGTATATGCCATGTGTATGCAGTTTGCAGTTGCAGGAGTGTAGTATCACGAAGAAGTAGAGAATAACGAAGAGCGCGAATAGTATTTTCCTTTGTACTAGACACGCTAGCGCCATCTATTAATCAAGTAAGTAATTATACATTTGAAACACATGATTTAAAATAAAGGTTGTGAAATTCTCAGGTAGGTGGCGCAATATAATCTAAATTTTGAAAAAATCATTTTGATAGAAAAATTGGAGCTGGCGTATCCGTAGAACTTGAGCGTGAACTTGAGTTTTTTTATTTTTCAAGGTTATATACAGGATGTTATGATAGTATTTTAGGTGAGCAGGGTCGGCTTTATTGCATCGTGCTAGTCTGCAGGGTAGAATTAAGTACGTGTCGTTCACTTAACCGGCCCCTTCTACCACCCCCCACCGCCCCATAAATATTACCAAACAAGGTAGCATACCTAACCACCACCCCCCGCCCCACACCCCCACACCGCCCAACCCACTAATCAAATAACTAAGCTTCCAAACCTTGCATTGCTAAATTTTCCTTATTGCATTGCCCGCCGATGTTTTCCTTGTATGCTAGTGTTTGTAACGAGCTTGAACATTTGGTTTTTTAGCCGTAGCAAATTTTGATCAAAAAGACATGTGTTTCTGCTTTGAGCCATTGTAAAGTTTTTGGGATGCAATTTCGTGTTTGCCATCCATGACACGGCTCGCAAAATTTTTTCCAAATTTTCTTATTAGTAATCATCGGACTTACCCTGTATTCCATTTCTACACTTATAGTTTCGTTTAGTCGTGTGCGCGCGGAGAAGCACGATCACGCTCCGAGATTTGAACGTGCGCCTGCGCATTCCGCAAGTCTGAGAAATGTGCTTAGCCCGAAAAATTGATATTTTAAAGACATTGTAAAACAATGAGGTATATGTATATTGTTTACATTAATTATTATGTTTTATAAGTATTATATTCTTTATATTTAATTAATAATACCACGTATGTCAACGAGGTTAGTTTTATACAAATTGAGATAAAACGTTATTTTACTTTATGTGGCGATGCGGAAAATGGAAAATATTGTTACCACGACTAAAAAAATCTAATAAATTTATGATTTACGGATATTGTCTATTTTATGTGTACATAGGTACGTTGTAAATTTTATATTACCAATTTGTCAAAACACAATTTTCTGCTAGAAATTTAATACTTTTAGTTTTATTTTTATTTCACCGGAATACCGTCGTTATCCATGCAGTTTATATCTTCCTAGCAACACATCATAAATTCTACAATTCCGTTTACATAAACATGAACGTTGCAAAATAATGCGCACAATTTTTTAAAAACGGCATGCAAACAAGCATAATTTGATCTATTTTGACGTCACCTTGTATACATGACAATATATTTTTGCACGTGTGGCACGTGGGCATGTGTGTATCATCTTTCAAGATTGAGCGTGAGCGTGCGCGTGAATATTTCTCTCGCTCGCGAAAATATTACGGTTTATTACGTAATTTATGTTGCATTATTATGCATCGCCTAGCGCAGAATGCGAAAAATAAGGATATGATTGAGCAGATGATGCAGGGGAGCGGAATTTACCCTCGGATAACGGCATAATAGGATGGAGCACACCGACGCTGCGAATAATCAGATTGAATTTCGAAATGGAAATGAAAATCCAATAAGAATAGGGAGAGGATGCAACGAAACATGAAACAAAAAAGAAAATAGAAAGAGGATTGTGATTGTATGCATATGCAAGAGTAAGTAGGGTGTAGAATAAACAAATGGAATTACAAAGACAATAAAGATTTAAATGTGGGGTGTTCAGTGAGACATCATAAGTAAGAATTACAACAATGTTGATCGTGCGCTGTATAAATCAAATTTGTCAGAGTAAATTTTATTGTTATACGTTGTAAGCAGACATGATATGTTGGTTGCATATACATTAGTCTTGACATAGTTGCACCATATATTTTTATTTGAGTAAACTTAGTAAAAAGACACAAAAAATGACAAAAACGTTTAAAATACAGCAAAATCTATATAAAAAAATTGATAAACCGCATAAATAAACTGTCTGGGTAAATTTTATGGTTATGAGTAATAGGCAGACATGATATGTTGGTGGTATACATACATTTATCTTTGTATAGTTGCGTCATCTACTTTTACTTGAACAAACTTAGTAAAAAGACAAAAAATAACAAAAACACTTAAAACACAGCAAAATCTTTAAAAATTTGATGAAATATCATAAATAAATTTATATTTCACACACAATTTACTTATTTAACTATAAATAATTAAGTAAACCTCAAAATTTTAAACAAACACCATTATAAAAAAGCAGTGTAAGCTGGGAATCAGAGAAAACGAGTGGAAACGCGCAAAATAAATACCTACTCTTCCCATTCGGCAATCGAAGAAGAAAAGCAAGAAATGCGAGTGAGTGAGTTTGAACACAGGATACGATTATTTTGAAATTCGAGTTGTTGAAGATGTCGGCGATGTGAGACGAAGACAAACAGAGAATGGGAGAGAGAGTTGCGTAAATCGTAGATATTGAAAATTTAAATATTCCAATCATAAGATGCGGCGCGTCGCCGCCACCGCAGCCGAAGAAAGAAATACGAGCGGCTTTCACTCCAATCTAATCTAGCGAAATGGAACCGATGAAAATGCGAATGGACGCTCATCCCACATAAAGTAAACATACAAATCAGGACGATATTCATTTCAATGAGTCATTGAACGAAAAACCACTCGATTGATCACGAAATATTAATAATCAAATGTAAAATGTATAAATTACGAAGTTTATTTTACCTACTAATACCAGGCATTCACTTTTTTCTCAAAATTTCTGTCAATTTTGCTTTCAAAATTGTTTTGAGGTTAAAAATTGCAATAAAACCACAATTTCAGCTCTAAAAACTTGTAATTTCAGTATAACAGCTTTAACAATAATAGCATTTGTTCTGGCAAACATTAAAATCTTAACATGAAATTTGTTTGTTTACAAAATTTTTAATTTTAATCCAATTTTAGAAAAAAGAATTAGTCAAAATTGCTTTTATTTTTTTAAATTTATAACATTTAAGCACATATTTCATCATTTATTATTACTTTTACATGATTTATTTAGGTATTAATTTAATTTAACTTGATTTATTCAATTTAAAATTAATTTATTGCTGCAGTGTCAATAAATAATTGTGTCTACTGTATTGATACGTATTGCGCATGCGTCAGGCATGCACCGCACGTTTACTGCTTGCCGGTATCCAATGTTTACTCCTCGTCCTCGCTGCGTAGCAGGCACTCACAGCAGACGCAGGCAGGCTCGCAAGCATCCTGAATTGCTTCAGTCGTCACACAACTTCGACGCGCGATGGTCGTTACCGTTACACCTTCTAACTCTATCTCTGACAACGATAACATTGCAATCGCTTGTTCGTGTTAAACAAACAACAACCTCTGAAATCAACTATAGCAAATGACCAGTTGAATTATTGTTGCTAAAAATTAATGACAACGTGGTTTGGTTTAAAAACTTTTGAAAACGTGGCGCGTACAGGTGATAACAGAGGTTAAAGGATGTAAATAATCCGAAGAACAAGTGGACATTGTGATGATAAACATGTTGCTGAATCGCGGTGTAGTATTTTTAGTGTTTATGGTTTTTATTGTGGTGGATTCAAGCAAACTTATATCGAAAGGTAAGAAATGTTGTTATTTACACTAGCAAATAGTATTAGTAGATAAAAATGGAATATATTTGATTTATTTTTACGCGTAATACGTTTACGCGTACGTTTAAATAAAAAGTAGCATAAAACATTGTTTTCTTTTTTCTTGGATTTGTTATTGACCAAGTCCGTCGATAAAATTTTTAATTTTCATTTTCGGAAAGTAGAAATGTGGCTTATGCATCATTAGCGCCATCTCGGTGTGATTTATATAACAAAAACTATAATATCAATTTTCATCCTTTATTTTTTTATCTTACAAGCTATATTTTGCAACAAAAATTAGCCTATTTGCTTTTTCTTGGTTAAAAATATCTCTAAACAAAAATATATCAAAACCGATTCAGTTGTTTTTGCTTGAAAGCGTTACAAATGTACAAAAAACAAAAATTTGCATTTATATTATACATTAAGATTTAATACGTCAGCAAATATTTAATAACTTTTATATTAAAAGTCTCAACTAATTCATACAATATGAATATTTCTGAATATTGGATTATAAATTAATTTATAATTGAAAATCCGTCACTTTGTATTTACTTGCACGAATATATGCGTATGTGTGCAAGAGTTTCGCATGAGCTTGTTGTGGAGTGGTCGTAAAGTTATCGACACAGCGTGCTGGCTTTTGCTCTCAGGAGCTACAGCCCCAAACAATACGCATACTCCGCGCTTGAGTCCTGGATATCCTGTTTGAGAGTTCAAGTCCGCACGCAAATCGCTACAAAAGGGATTAAAAGGGTTAATTTCCTAATTGCTCATTATAGTATCGCCTGCTCGGCGCGCTAACAAGTGCAACTATATCGAAAGTAATACTTTACAAACACGGATAATTAAATACTGCTAATTGAAAAAAAAAAGTAAAAGGGGAGGAAATAGTGATTTAAATTTTAATCTTTTTGAAAGTTAAAGTAATTGAAATAAGTAGTAAAAAAGCATTTCAAAATTTGAAGTATAGTACTTAATATCTATAATATAAAAATGAATCGCATAATCTGTTGGTAAGCGCATAACTCATCAACGCTTAGACCAATTTGGCCAATTCCTTTTTTAAAATG